TATATATATATATATATATATATATATTTGAATTAAGTAATTTAACAACAAATAACTTAGAGAAAATAGAAAACATTGTCAACGTTTAGTTAAAATAACTTCAAAAATTTAGGGACCACCTTTTTCATGATATTAATGAAAACTAATAAATTGCATTATTATTTCCAAAGCAAAAATTACTCATCAGGAGATAAATTCATCTGTAAATGTTATATCAGGAATAAATTACATGTTTCAGAATTTGTCTTTCTATCTGTGTTTGCATTTATCCACATAATCCAAGTTAACAACCGTGAACTCCTTGTTTTCTCACTCTCTCTAAATAAATATTATATTTACATAAATGTATGTATTTTTCTAGGTCGTCGTATCGTATCGGCTATGATACAGCACATTTCATATAACGAGTTCCTACCAAGGATCGTAGGCAGAAATTTTGTTCACCGATATGACTTACCCTTGTTGAATGAAGGCTACTATGAAGGTTATGACCCAACTTGTAACCCCACTGTTTTGAATGAGTTTGCTACTGCAGCCTTTCGTTTTGGACACAGTCTAATTAAGCCAGTCTTGGAAAGAATGGGTCATGACTACAGAGTGTTGAGAGACCCACTTAAACTAAGGAACGGTTTTTTCAATACTGATATGTTATATGCTGGTAAGTGTCGTGGTGGGGAATAGAGCAAAACATGAAGTCCATTCATGGTATTTTGAGATAAAATATCTTAAGCTTAGTATTTTACATTGAAATAATAGTAAAGGCTTTTCTGTATGGTAAACTTCAGTGGGTGTATTAGTTAATATATTTGAAATGTTTTTGTTATTTAATAAACACTCCCAAAGTTTCAACTTTGACCTTATTTTATTATTTTATTCCTTTGGTAATATTCTAGCTCAAGCTATTGACCACATTATGCGTGGCCTTGTGACCAGTAGTATGGAGACATTAGATAATACCATTACAGAAGAAGTGACCAACCATCTGTTTGAAGATAAGAGAATTCCTTTTTCTGGAATGGACTTGGCAGCTCTCAATCTACAGCGTGGCCGTGATCATGGTCTCCGCCCATATAATGACTATCGGGAAGTCTGTAACTTGACAAGAGCTAGAACTTTTAATGACCTCAGGGAAGAAATTCCACTGAACATCATTGATAGGCTTAGGAATGTTTATGAGTATGCATTTTACATAGTCTTACCAACATGTGTTTGGATTTATGGTTTGTTATGTAGCCAGTTATATGTTAAGTTAGTGGTTTCTTTTCTCAGTTAAAATGTATAGAATGAAATTTAATGTATTGTGTTTTTAAAAATACATATAAACAAGTTTTAATATTTTCTAATTTGTTTTTTTTGTATTTGAATGATATAAAATTCTGTATTAAACCTATGTGCACAGATGGGGGCCAAATTGCATATGACATGACTTTTTACAGAGTGCCATTCAACATGGTATTATGTATTTGATATCAGAGTTATCAACTATTTATTTTATCCTACATTGCTGATTTAGTGATAGTTCTTGTAGATGAGAGTAAATACCAAATACAGTGTACAGGGATACTGAAAAAAACTGTAAATATGCAATTTGGAGGCTCTAAAACAGTGCTTCCCAAACTTTTTCAAATCGTGGAACACCATATGGCAGTTCTAGTGGCACCTCCATGACTAGGGCAGGCAGAAATTACTGTTATACTCTGTATCGAGGAGAAAAATCAAATTTGAAATTTTTAAAATTTACATTACTAAATAAGAATTATTTAATAATTGCAAAAATTCTGCGGTACAGCTGAGACCTTCCCGTGGTACAACTGCATGCTGCGGCACACAGTTTGGGAAGCACTGCTCTAGAAGTTATGCAACTGAATGTACAAAATGTATGATGGGCAGAAGTGTTTTTATTCTTCAAATACACATCACCTTGCACTCTGACTTCTCAGAGTCTGAGTCAGACTGATGTCATCAATTCACAGACATATCTTCAGAACAAAGACATTTGTAACATATCTAATTTTCTGTGTACAACAGTCTGATATATTTTACTAAAAGCTTGTCACGTTTCATTAAGATATACATAGTAGTTTTGGAGTTAGTGTCAACATTACTTCTCCAATATGGACTCATTCCATTGGACTAACATAACATAACATTGGGACAACATGAGACCTATTGGTCCATTTTGACCATTCTTTTCATTCATATACTTATCAAGCTTTTTCTTAAACTCACTTAAATT